AAAAAAAAAAAAAAAAAAAGTGGGACATAGATACAATGTGCTATTCCTCAGCCATACAAAAGAATGAAATCTTACCATCTGCAAAAGAGTGGATGGACCTGGAGAGTATTATGCTAAGAGAAATAAGTCAGGCAGAGGAAGACAAATACCAAGTGATTTCACTTATATGTGGACTCTAAAGAAAAAAGTAAAAAAGCAAAACTGAAACAGTCTCATAAACACAGATCAGACTGATGGTTGCCAGGGGTCTGGGGGTTGGGGGACTGGGTGAAAAAGGTGAAGGGATTAAAAATATAGATTGGCAGTTACAAAAAAGTCACGAGGATGTAAATACAGCACAGGGAATATAGTCAGTAATACTGTAGTAACTATGTATGGTGCCAGGTGGGCACTGAAAATACCGAGGGGATAGACTTTGTAAAGTCTGTGATTTTTTTTTTTAAGACTTTTTTAAAAAAAATATATCTTTATTGATTTCAGGGAGAGGAAAGGAGAGGGAGAAAGAGAGATAGAAACATCAATGATGAGCGAGTCATTGATCAAGCTGACAACCCAGGCATGTGCCCTGACCGGGAATCGAACCCCGATCGCCTGGATCCCAGGTTGACGCTCAACCGCTGAGCCACGCCCGGCTGGGCAAGTCTGTGATTTTCTAACAATTATGCTGTACACCTGAAACTAAGAAAAAATAATATTGAATGTAAACTATATGAAAATTAAATAAAGTAGTTATGAAAGAGGGAAACTGAGGTGATTCTAGGCCGTAGGGTAAGGTTTATTCATTTGTGTGTGTTTGCTAGGTCAGGATGCATAATGTTTGTGGATCATATCAGGAAAGTGAAGGGCATTGGGCTCAACTGCAGCTTTGAGAAGTTTCTAGACAGGCCTCGGAGAGCAGAGGCCCCTTTCTCGTAAGATCTTAACGTCTGCCTTTGATCCTAGCCTTTCCCCTTGCTTAGGCATCTGGCAGAAGAGCTGCTTGTCTCTAAACAAAGCACACTGGAATGTTCTAGGCCTGGGAAATCACAAAGAAGACCTGTGCGTACACCAACCACACCGTGCTGCCGGAGGCCTTGGAGCGCTGGCCCGTGTCCATGTTTGAGAAGCTGCTGCCAAGGCACCTGGAAATTATCTATGCCATTAACCAGCGGCACCTGGATGTAAGCACCGGCCACGCTGGAGCGGGAGTGAGGCTGGTGGGCCGTTCCCGTGCCAAGTGGCCCTCCTGTGTTCTCCACATTACTTCTTGAAACAAATAGCCTGTGTGCAGCAGAGGGTTTTGAGGCCTGGGGGCTGTCACTTGACAGAGCTATTGGCAAGTCCCCACACCTACACCCCTGCTATATACATGGGAGTTATGGATTCAGGTCTTAAAAATGTTCCTGTTCCCCTGCGGGGTTTAGATTTAAGTGTCAGTTCTTGTAATGCCAGAGACCTTTATCCTGAGATGACATAGCAGCAATTGGGTGATTTGGAAACAAAGTTCCTGTTTCCTTTGTTACCTGCAGAAAAGATAATGGTACGAACATAGGAGAGGACTTAGAATTTAGGTGTGATTATAGTTCATTTTTTAACCTTTTGGTGAAGAGGCAGCTGTTCCCTGTCAAAATGTGTTTAAAACCTACTTCGGCCAACAGGGACAGCATTCCCATCTTTTCCTTGTAAGTCGCATGGCGTGTCCTTAGCACCTCTGGTCCTCTAGTCCGGCCGCTGACAGAGCAGCTCTGCCGAGTCCCCCTGGGCTTTTCCCTGGGCCGATGCAGTGTGGGACGATGGGCTTTTAGAGGTGCACCCAGGGTATTTGAGTGCAAGTTTGGGGGCAGCAGCCCCAGGATCTTCTTGGAGGAAACCAAACTTCCCTCAGGGAGCCCCTGGCCCATTGTGGGACCTCCTGCACTCCTGCTCATGGTTCTTTGTCTTGGTAACAGCAAGTGGCTGCCCTGTTCCCTGGGGACGTGGACCGCCTGCGGAGGATGTCTGTGATTGAGGAAGGGGACTGCAAGCGGATTAACATGGCCCACCTGTGTGTGATCGGATCCCATGCTGTCAATGGCGTGGCTAGGATCCACTCGGAGATCGTGAAGCACTCAGTGTGAGTGAGGCCAGTGTTTGTCCTGAGCTAGGGCGTACCCCCTTCCTGACCCCACACCTGCCTCTGGGGACTGTGGCTGGGGCGTATGGCCCGTGCCTCACACCATAACTGTGCTTCCCTCGTGGGCAATGGCTGACCTGTTCGTGTGGAGACTTCTGCGTTCCCGGTGCCTGCCCAGAGCCTTTAATCCATACATCAGGCTTCTCAGTAGGGGCCGTAGTTTCCATTCTACAGATATGGAAACTGAGCCCGTTTTTCCACGATAGTGATCGCTTTAGAAATGGCCGGGCTCTGCCGCCTGTGAGGTTACAGCTGGCCCCAGGCGGCATGGCGTGCTGTGGGACAGCGGAGAGCCGGAGCCGCGTGCCTGCTGCTCTGAGCGCGCAGTAATGCTGACTGCTCTGCGTTCCTTAGAAAACAGAACAGGGAAACTGAGCTCCGGGACCTTCCCGGGATTTCCTTACAAGGTCCTTATGTTCTTCTTGCCTTGTTCAGAACACAGCACTTGTCACCATTGCTTGTTTTCCGTGGTTTTAGCTTTAAGGACTTCCACGAGCTGGAGCCAGAAAAGTTCCAGAATAAGACGAATGGCATCACCCCCCGGCGGTGGTTGCTCCTTTGTAACCCGGGTCTGGCTGACATCATCATGGAGGTGAGAGTGGCCACCTCTGAGTCCACGGGGAACTGTGGACATAGTTAGAGCACAGCCGCTGCCCACCTGGTGTCAGGCCCGTCACCAGTGGGTGCTGAGTTTGCAGCACGCTGCTCCTTTGTGTGTGGAGCGCAGTGGCTCCTCGATGGGAGTAGGTGGCATCCGGCTGCCACCCCTGAGCATGGGAGCACTGGGACAGACAGGGCAGTAAGTCAGTGGCCTCTGGGGCCTGGGAGAGGTAGTTCAGAATCGAGGTCCTGGGCTTTCAGGAGGGGCTGGGTGGGGCCACCTGGCCAAGCAGCAGCCATAGGCCAGCGGCTGAAGAGGTTTTGTGAGCCACAGACACAGTAGTGTCTTTGCTCATGTGCTCACTCAAGAGGGAAAGAAGTGAGCCTTCGTACGTGCTAGGCGGTGTGCTAGGCTGGAGGATGCGGCAGGGGCTGTGGGGCAGTGCCTGGGGCGAGGGCCTGCTGTGGGACGCTGCCTGGCTGGGGCTGCGTGTGTGTCAGGGAAGGCACAGCGGAGCCAAGGTCCGAAGAGTGAGTGGGAAGTAGCCAGAAAACAGACACGGGTGACAGAACGGCGGGCAGTCCTAGGAGGACAGGTTCCGACGCGAGGAGAAACCACGTGCTCCTTTACAATTCTCCAGAAAATCGGGGAGGGCTTCCTGACCGACCTGAGTCAGCTGAAGAAGCTCCTGCCCTTGGTCAGCGATGAGGTGCTCATCAGGGACGTGGCCAAGGTCAAGCAGGTAGGCCGTGTGCAGCCTGGCCCTGTGCCTCAGCCCGAGTGTGGGGCAGTGGCCCTGCCTGTTCCATGTTGGGGCCCAGGGGCTGAAAGTCCGTCTTCTCCACTCAGCTTTTCAGACGAGGACCCAACTGACCTCGGGTCACGCAGGAGGCGGGCGGGCGGCGGGCGGGCGCAGGTGCCCAGGTGCCCAGAGCAGCTTTGAGCGCACCTTGGCCTGCGGGAGAAGCTTGTCTGGGGGGAAGGCTCAGGGGGCTGATTCGGATCAGGCACTGAGCCTCTCCCCGCTGCAGCCAGCCTCATAGCCTTACAGGCCGGTCGCTGAGGCTTCCTGGGCCAAACGCCACGCCACGTGCTCCCCCGCCTGCCTCTGTGCTGGGCTCAGGAACAGCCCCTCATTTTGAAGTCTCACCCTCCCTCTTCTCTGCCCAACTGCCCACACCTGTCTCCTTTTACCTACGTTCACTGGGTTCCCTTTGTTTTGCTTTTCTGATCCTTTGCTTTTCCCCAGCTTTGCTTTTTGGGCTAGTTTTCCATTTATTTCTGCCACTGGTGGTGCGTGTTCACTTTCAGGATCAAGCTTCCCCCACGCCTGCTTTTCCTCACACGGCTGCTATCCCTGAGCCCCCAGCACGGGTCTCCCAGTCTTCCTGCCGCCCCCCCGGGGCAGCCGCAGACCTCTGGGGAGCCCCTCTGTGCCCCGTTTCTGACAGTGGGACCCAGATATTCTCAGCCCAGGTGGGGGGCCAGGCGTTATCCGAAGGGGAGCTTGTGGATTTTGTCCCCGTGGACCGTTCAGTCCATCCTCTTGATTCGCCCAGGAGAACAAGCTGAAGTTCTCTGCCTTCCTGGAGAAGGAGTACAAGGTGAAGGTCAACCCCTCCTCCATGTTCGACGTGCACGTGAAGAGGATCCATGAGTATAAGCGGCAGCTGCTGAACTGCCTGCACACCGTCACCCTGTACAACCGTGAGTGCGGCTCCGCTCCCTCTAGCTGTCCCTGGGCCCGGGCCCTTCTTTCACGCAGTCGGGCGGAGGGGCCTGTGTGTGACATCGCGCAGGGATTGTGAGCCATAGCTCTGTGTTCTTCCCTGTGCTCGGTGTCTGAGGAGTTGCGAGGGAGTGGAAGGTGAGCTCTGTCTCTGCTCTGGCCCGCCGGGGCCTGAGCTACACAAGGCAGGCGACCGGTTAAATGCCTCCGGAGGGCCATGGACGGCCCCAGGGAGTCAGCATGGGGCCTGGGGTGGGCAGGAGGGGGGTGGGGAGCTTCCTGGAACTCCAAGGCTAGGGTTTATGTTCAGTTCAGCTTTTATTTTAAATTTAGTTATCTTTGTTAGACTTGAGTTATTTGGAAAGATTTTACTTATTAGAGACATTTAAAGTATGCTTATAAAAAACAAAATAGTATATGTTAAATTTATATGTGTACCTTTAATTGGTTAAGCAGTATTTCAGTGTGAGGACATGTGAATCAAATATGAATATTTGCTAGTTTTACAAATATCATAATAAAACCTTGAGGAATAACTTAGTTTTTAAAGTTTTGTAATGTAATAAAGTGATTCATTTTGAAAACCAAGGAAACTGCACGTACTCTTCTAGAGGGAAAGCCCCTCTCGGGAACACGAGCGCTCCCGTTACCAGTGAGCCAGGCGGGTCAGGTGGCGGAATCTGGCTCCTTGGGAGGCGGCGGAGTGGCAGGGTAGGTGCCTGTGTTGCTCCCATGCTCCTGGCCCCAGACCTTAGAGACGCCGCAGGTGCGGGCCCTCCTGTGTGGGGCTGAGGGAGGCGCCTTACCACATGCTTCCCTGGCCAGAAATAGTCGTCCATGGAGCTCTTGTTCTGTTTTATTTGCCATGTTTTTCTTTTGCAGTCAGGATTTTCTGCATTTTATTTGTTATTTCCTCAGTGATGTCCGTGAGTCCCCTCCTTGAACCCAGTTTGTGAGCAGCAGAGAAGTCACTGGGCACCCCTTTCTTCCTCCCGCTGTGGCCCCCTCTGCTGTTAGTCTCTGTCGTTGCTGTGTGCCTTTGTGCTCCCATCAGGCACTTCTGCTGCGGTGCTTCTCAGCTGCTAAGGACACCCTGTGACCCCGGCTGTTTCGATGAGTCGGTCGGGCTCGTGCCCATTTGCTCTTCATGCCCGTGCACACGTGTGTGCAGGTGTCCTCTGACTGCTGCTCCCAGCCCTGACCTGACTTTTGCCTTGGCCTGCGGATGAACACACTCAGTGCTCACGAGGCCCCCTGCAAAGCCATCCTGCCTGGGTTTCCCTCTAGTTCACAATGCCGCTCCCGTGAACCGCACTCCCCAGCTTCTCCCTTGTTCCTTCAGCATGGATGGTTTGAAGGTGACATTCTCAGTTCACTTGTTTTCGTTGAGCATCGTTTAGGTCCTGTGCTCCCCTGTCTAGAGGGTGGGTTTGGGTGTCTTGGGTCTGTGCTAGTTTCACTGGGCTGCCTGGGCGCTGGCCGCTGTGGGTCCGTTTCCCTGACACTCAGGCTGCTCTTTGACTGTGTTGGTTGCTATCTTGTATTATTTCTAGAAAGTTTTCTTGAAATGTATTTAAAACACTTGTTAGTGCCACAGTTTTGGTTTTTCTTCTTCTGGGACTCTAGCTAGGTGTGTGCGTGTGTGGCGGTGTGTGTGTGGGGTTCTTCTACCTACCTTCTTGCCTGTTGATTTCTCTCTGATCATATCTAGAGGCCTTTCCTTTTCCGTTAGGTTCTCTGCTCTTCCCGCTCCATCCTCTGTGTCTGCGGTGCTGTGTCTTCTCTCCCTCTTGGCTTCTGTAATCAGGCTACACTTACCTGTGGCAGTTCTGCCTTTCCACTCCCATGTTCTGCCAATTCTCCTTTAATGTGCTCCCCCCGTGTTCCACCCTTTCCTGTGGCAGTTCTGCCTTTCCACTCCCATGTTCTCCTTTAATGTGCTCCCGTGTTCCACCCTTTCCCAAGGTCTTGTAGTTCAGCTCTGTGGTCCCCTTTCCACGTTGATAGTCATCACAGGTTGGAGATTCACAGAGGTTTGTTCCATTTCCTCTTGTCTGTCGGGAAGCTGTGTTCATGTTTGTAGTTCCCAGATGAGGGAGCTGCACTATGCAGGGTTCCAGGGCCGCTTCGGGCTTCCCCAGGGCCTGGTACCTCTCTGTGGCTGCATCTCCTCTGTCTCTGCCAAGTCCACACTGTCTCAGGGGCTCCCCGACCTGACTGTCATGGTTTCTGCCCTATGAGACTCTGTTCACCAGGATATCAGCTCCTCCTCCCCAGGTTTCCCAGTGGGAGAGGTGCTGATGAGGTCAGCCTGCCTGCCCCCCGGGGCTCCTTCCCTGTCTCCTGTGCTTATGGCCCCTCTGGGGAGGCCAGGTCTCGAGACCCTTTGCATTCCCAGCCCTGTTCCCCAGCTACCCGTGACCTGACAGAACTGGCTCAGTGGTCTGGAGTGTGCATATTTTTCCTAGGAAAATTTTGGTGAAAACGTAGCTTGTATTTTTATTATTTTCTACACTTCATGTTATTCTGCCTGATTTCTGGGAGTGGGAAGGTCCAGAAGCCAGGTACAATCATGTTCCTACTAGAACATGAAGTCAGATGTTAAAGATCAGCCACAACTCTACACTGCCCATGGCTGGTTCCCAGTTCTGATAAATGCTGCCTAGGGCTGCCTGTCGCCCCTGTGTAGACATCACCCCCACCCCCCAGCTCCCCTGACACTGAAATTGAAAACTGGTGGCCTGGCGAGCACACACTCAGTTTGCAGGGGCTGAAGGTAAGCCGACCATTGTCGACCTAGTGTCCGATCCCCCATCTTTCCCCATGCAGGAGAGCTTCAGGAAGAGAGTGGGAGACTTGGGGTCTTGCCTGACACCCCTCGAGGGCTAATGGTGCCATTACCACAACCGTGAGGTCACCTCTTTTTCGAGTGCCAGTCATGTACAAGGGCCTTGAGTCCTGGTGACCAGACCCAAACCGGGCTCCTGTGTCAGAGTGTTCTGGAAACAGGTGCACTTTTCCTGTGGCCTTTGAAAGAGTCTGCTCCTGGCTGGCCTTCCTCACTCCCCTGGGACCCATGTGCAGAATCCAGGGGCGTTGTTCCTATTCTGTGATGGGATTTCCTGGCGGGTGTGTGGGGCCTAGTGGCCATGCCCTACTACCTTTGTTGGGTTGACCTCTGAGTACACTGGTCACCATGGCTCACTTGAATCTCTTGTTTGTCCTGCAGGAATAAAGAAGGACCCTGCCAAGGCTTTTGTGCCCAGGACTGTCATAATCGGGGGTAAGGTGAGGTGATGTTCTCTTTGCTTGATATTTGGCCAGAATGCACAAACCACACTTTTCAGCAGTGCCACTGGGCCCAGACTTGGGCACCAGCTGCCCCCTTGACAGGACGCTGTGGGTGGCTCGGAGCCAGCGTACACACAATGCCAGAGGATCCCTGACCCCCAGGTGGGCCAAGTCGGTTCAGTCTTCAGCTCAGTAGATGGGACCCCTGCCTGCCCAGCACACTGGGGGGTTCCCAGCATCAAGGGCAGCCCCCAGGGGGCTTCTTGGCCTCTCCATTTGATGGAGTGGTACCCTTTCTCTGCATAACCACTGACATTATACACTGTTCCTGGTTCTTGGGGTCCAGCTTGCCCACAATGCTCCCCACCCACAACACGCACGCGCGCACACACGCACGCACGCGCGTGCGCGCGCTAAGAGGATGCAGGTTGCTGGCTGCTTCACTGACCAGATGTGAGCCTGCTCTGAGCTCCGCCTGGCTTTATTTCCTTTCATTTACTGTGGCATATGCTTTGGATGCACTGTTGTGGAATCTAGCGGATCGCCCTGAGGCAATGGTGGGTCCCATCATTGTGCTCTGTGTTCTAGGACCCACCCTCTGCCGCTTTTCCCCAACAGCCTGGTGTCATCAGGGAGTGTGAGGAGCTCTGGGGCACAGCTCCTTTATGGGGGACCCCGGGGTGGGGACAGGCTCTGTCCTTTCCTCTGACTCAAGCACATATGAGGGTGGACAGGAGGCTCAAGCCTTCTGTGAGCCCACTGGCTTCAGATGGCCCCACACACCTACCTCGTTTTGTCTCTGCCCACTCTCTACCCCCAATTCCTGCTATTTCTGAACCTTATTCTAGACATCATGACATGTCATTTGTTAGTATTTCAATATTAAAAATTTCAAGCCTAGAATGTAGGAAGAATTGTAGAACATTCATGAAGCTGGACTTCCACTGGGCTGCTTCAGAGTGAACCACAGACACTGGAACGCTTTACCTCTCAGCACTTCACCCATCCTCACAGTGATGCTTCCTGAGCCACAAATCATACTCTCCACCACCACACAGACCGTTGTCACACCTCCATGTCAAAGTCACAGAGATCTTGAGCAGCTTGTTTGAATCAGGACCCTGGCAAGGGCCTAGCATGGCTGCCTTTTAAAGTTCTTCATCTGCAGGTTTTCTCCATCTTTCTTTTCTCTCTCCTGCAGTTATTTTTGTTACAGAAATTGGGTGGTGTGTCTTCCCCAGCTTGCCTGTTCTGACTGCATCCTTCAGTATGTTTAGTTCCCTGATTTCCTGGAAGTTGGTAGTCAGTTCTAACAGTCCCGTTTCTTTTATCTCTTAATTTTTGAAACTGAAAACAAGCTTGAGGTTGACAGATTTCTGCACACAGGGGAGGTGGCCATCATGAGACGTGCCCTGTCAGAGCTGAGGGAGAACAGGCGGGGCATCACGCCCGGTATGGTTACGGGTTCTTCTGTCATGAGTCTGTCTGCCAGACTGAGTGAAGGACATGCAGAGATGCCATGGCCTCAGCCCCTCTGGAGAGCCACCCTTGCCTGACACCAAGGCTACTCAGCTAGGCGTGACCTCAGCAAGTCCAGCACCAGGCCACGGTGACCAGGAACAATGCTGGCTCCAAGCAGGCCTGCTCATGCTTCACCCTCCCTCTTTCCAGGCAGCTCCTGGTTACCACATGGCCAAGATGATCATCAAGCTGGTCACGTCCATCGGCGATGTTGTCAACCACGATCCAATTGTGGGCAACAGGCTCAAAGTGATCTTCCTAGAGAACTACCGAGTGTCCTTGGCTGAAAAAGGTACCTCTGGGGAGGCCATGTTAGACCATAAAGCCTGCCCCTGCCATGTGGGGGGTCGTTGCTGGTCAGGGGTTAACTCTGCCCTGGACACCAGGCTCCCTGGTCAAAGGGGGCCTTCAGTCTAGTATTGAAAGGCTTTGGGGAGCTCTCTGTCTGTACTCAAGTGCGGAATTACTCTCAGCCTCAGCTGTTCTTTGTCTCTGCAATTTCTCTCCTGCCTTGACCTCATTGTCCCTCCTGCTTCCTCTCCTCAGCCCCTCAGCTTTGCCTTCCTGCTGCTGGGCTCGCTTTTGCTGGCAGAATGTGCTCCCATTTGCCTCCCTCCCCCCTCTTCACTCCCCTCCAGAGATGCTTCTGCTCATGACCACCTGTTCACTCTCGAGAGTGCTGCCTGCTTCTCATTTGGGACAGCACCTGCCTCTTCTGTCCTTTCTGAGGGCGGCTCGGGGCCTGACATTCTGCCCTCATCTGTTGAGAGTTCAGTCTGGGGCTGCTCCACTTGAGGGAGTCCTGGGAAGACTTGCTCAGGATGTGTGCTGCCACCTGGAGAAGGTTCTGAAGATGATCCTGCAGCCAGATGTGCCTTGGAGCATGGATGTCTGTGTCTGGATGGGCCTTTCTAAATTGGCTGCTACTGGAGACTGTCAGGAAAGCATCTGCCCAACCAAAGCTGAGCCTGGGGTTCTGGTGCCAAGTAGCAGGCACATCCATGGTTCAAAACATGCTGCTTTGTGGGCCTCGTCTGAGTAAAGATGTGCTCCCTCCTCCTGCCAGCCCGGCTGGTTCATCAGAACCATCCCTGTGGTCCCCACTGCCATGGACCACGTGTGGTTCAGTTGGTGGTGTGGTGAGTTGGTTAGTCCTTCACTGAGCTTCCAACGTGTCTAACAGCTGTTTGCTGCCTGGAACTCTTGCCTCCCCTCTCCCCCCACTACATTTGGGGCCGGCTCCTGTGCTTCTTTAAAACAGACCTTGGGGGATGCCCAGTCTGGGGCCTCAGACCTGGGGTCAGGGCTCTTGGACTTGCTGTGGCAATGTGTCTGCTATCTTATTTGCTGTGTCATCTGCCTGTGGGGTGGGCCTGCATGGGGGCCAAGATTCCTGTGTCTCTTTATGCTGACACTGGTCTTGATCTTGAAGAAGGGCTGGGCTCTGGTCTTGCTGGCCTTGAGTGCCTGCCATTGAGTCAGGCAAGAATCAGTTCCACAGATGAGCTGAGGCCGTGGGAACAAGGATGCTGAGGCAGATGGGACAGAGGAGGTGCAGGGAACCCACTCTTGGGAGAAGCTGCAGGGCCCAGTCTATGTATAGCACAGAGTAACTGTGAATGGGAGGAAATTACAATCCGCCCCCCCCCGAGTCTTCTGGTTCCAAGAGTCTGGATCCCTCTCGAAGTGATCTAATGGACTTGTGGACTTCTGAATAAGAAGTGGCTGGGGTGACGGTTCTGGTCTAGGTTCCAGAACAAAGGTCCTATGCCACCTGTGAGGCTTGTCCTCAGGAGTCCCCTCATAGACCCTCTGCCTCAGGCTGCCCTGGATTAAGAAGGTGAGCCCTTATAGGTGGCGTGGGGTGCCCAGCCTTGGCCGCCTGCAGGGTACCCAAGGGCTCCAGCTTGTCCTGGAGTGAGCGCCAGCCTCGGGTCAGGTCGGGATGAAAGAGCAGGGTGTTTCTTATGGATCCATGGTGCATGCTGTGAGTAGTTGGTGGCTGATACCTTCTTGTGCTCCTCCCTTGCAGTGATTCCCGCTGCTGACCTATCACAGCAGATTTCCACTGCGGGCACCGAGGCCTCAGGTACGGGCAACATGAAATTCATGCTCAACGGGGCCCTCACCATTGGCACCATGGATGGTGCCAACGTGGAGATGGCTGAGGAGGCCGGAGCTGAAAACCTCTTCATCTTTGGCCTTCGGGTGGAAGACGTACAGGCCCTGGACCAAAAAGGGTATGTCTCTCTCCCCGTCCCATCAAGGGTGTGGCATCATCGTGAGCACTGCCCATAGCCCCAGGGAGGGTGTGAAGGGCTCTCAGGCCAGGCCCCTGCTTGCCAGGGTGAGTGCCGCCCAGGGACTGGGGAGTGGCTGCGGGCACTCGGGCCTGTCTGCTCACTTCCAGCTTGGGCAGAAGCCGGCTGCTCTGTGCTTCTGCTTCATGGCTCAGTCTGAGGGATCCAGACCAAGTGTTTCCAAAAGGGTGGAAGCTCTAGTCTCTGTGGGGGGAGCCCTCAGGGACAGGGCTCTGAATACTCTTGACTGATTTGGGGATTTGAGGCTGGCCCACTGCCGCGATTCCCTGGCCAAATTTTGTAAAATAACCCATCTGTTTAGGAATAGTTTTAGATTATAGAAAAGTTGTAAAGACTGTAGTTTCACATACAGTTCCAATTTTACCTGTTGCTTGCATATTACTAATTAGTGTGGAACATTGTCAAAGTTAACTAACCAATAATGGTATGTTTTTTTTTAAAGTCCATCGTTTATTTCACCATTTTCTCATGAATGTCCTGTCTTTTGCCCAGGATCCCATCCAGAGCATCCCTCTGATCTGTGGCAGTTTCTCAGCCTTTCCTTGTTTTTCATGACTTGGATACTCTTTAGGAGTCCTGGCCCCAGCCTAATTCTGAGCAATAATTAAAAAGACAATGTTGCCTAATTTCCTAAAAGCTCTCTGGGGAGTTGGTGAGGCCTCAGGTACCAGCCTGGTAAAAACCCAGATGTCACCTATAAAGAGCTTTGTCCTTGTCAGCCTGAGAGTACACACCGTATGTGCCCTTTTCTGCGCCCTGCATTGACTCTTTCTGCCCCATCTCTGTGTCTAGGATGCACACATCTATCAAATGCCTCCCTTTCCAACTTCCTGATGGCCACAGGCCTGTTGTGTCTCGAAGGATGGGGACAGAGGATGGGAGGGTCGAGGGTCAGGGGGAGGGGGCTGAGGGTAGGGTGGGGATGCACAGAGTTGCAAGTTCTTGAGCAGCCCTCTCCTGTGGGAATGAGACGGAGCCATGTGTGCCATTGTACAGCGTCAGGGACCATGGTTCTGTAAACTGTAAAAGGAGCAGGTGGGATTTTGTGCTCACAGCACATCACCATCTCCCCGGGGCCCAGTAGCCCACATGGCCAGCAGCTGCCTGCAAGACCCCACAGGCCTGGAGCCTGGGGCATTGCTAGGTAAGGGAGGGGTGTGCCCATTGCCTGCCCAGAGGCTGCTGCCTGGAGGGGCTGGGCTGGCACTGACTTGACCCTCCTCACAGGTACAATGCCCAAGAGTACTATGACCGTCTGCCCGAGCTAAGGCAGGCTGTGGATCAGATCAGGAGCGGCTTCTTCTCTCCCAAGGAACCAGACTGTTTCAAGGACATCGTTAACATGCTGCTGAACCACGACAGGTGGGACTGGCTTCCTCTTGGTCCTGTGTCCCGCCCCACAGACAGGTTCCCGGGGTGGGCTGAAAATTGGACGCTGTTGGGGGTGAAAGCCCCCCCCCCCCAACTGTGGCCCAGGTGCAGAGCCTCAGGCCACCCACCTTGAGAAGTTCCACTACACCCAGGGCTAGAGCTAGCATTGGCCTCCTGCGATGCTTGGTGTGCTGTGGGCACCCAGGTGGTGGGAACTACCAGCTGCATAGTCCAGCCCCAGGCCCCAGCACCAGCTGACCATCTGGATGTGACAAACAGGTGATGTCACACGGGGCTGATAGGATGCAATTCCTGAGCCTTCTTGTCTCCAGTGGGAGAGGGAATGTGGGCAGGACTCCTCTGGGAGGCTGGTGGGGCTGCAGCAATGTGGGCCATGGTGACACAAATTAAAATAGAATTAATTTGTGACATAAATTGCAGTGTAGTGTTTTATTACAATGCAATTGACACATGGTTGTAACTCAGCTTCCGTTACAGACTTACTTGGAACAGGTTGGCTGTACCATTTGCCACATGACAGTTCTTTGCTCCAACCTACTGATAAAAGTTGAGCCTGGTGAATGCTGAGGATTGACACCTATTCCACTTTTAGTTGCTTTTGGGTTAGATTTCTTTTATATAACTGCTGTCAGCTGGCTTCAGCCAGACCAGGTCATAACCAGACAGGTACTGGGAGCTTGGCACTGGCCAAGGTCTGTGATCAAGGAAAGACTTTTAACGGTTTTATGAACTGTGTTTCTGACTCAATTATAAACAGAAATGCATTTCTGTATTCATAATTCCTGCATTTTTTTGGTCCTACATCACAAGTTCTTGGCCCAGTTAGACCTGCAAACTGCTACAGAGAGCCCGTTTCCCACCATCCTGTGCCGTTCCCCCGGGAGGTGAAAAGAAGAGACCTTTCAGCTGTGCAGCTTTAACCTACGTGCATTATAAACACCAATGTCTTTAAAGGAACATTGGATTAAAATAAGGTTTTTGAAAAAGTGTCCGCAGGACAGAAGTGTTGCTCACAGAGCAGCCCCTGTGGCCAGGTGGGCTCCAGAGCATCAGGACACAGACGGCGGCCATGGCCTGGTGGCTGGTTCCCTGATCTCTCATCTCGTTTCAGGTTCAAGGTGTTTGCAGATTATGAAGCGTATGTGGCATGCCAGGCCCAGGTGGACCAGCTGTACCAGGTAAGGTTCTCAGACCCCAGAGCTGATAGGGGCAGCACTGGTCAGGGAGCAGCGGGGCACACATGCATCCTGCTGTCTAGGACCACTCCTGGGAGGTCACAGTTCAGCCTGTGGCCCAGAGCAGGCGTCCACTGCTTACAACTGCTATGCTGGTGCCTTTAGACTCCTTGGGGTTAGGCTGCTGTCCACTTGGCACAAGTTTGCCCTGCAGAGGGGGCGGAGATGGGCTGTTCCCTAGTCTGATCACCCCATGTGGGTATGATAAAAGGGGACTGGGGAGTCATGCAGAGCTCAGTCCAAGAGGAGGGATGGGTCTGGTGAGCAGTATGCACACAGAAAGCATGTCTAAAAAGAGAATGTGAACACTTTCTGGGAAAGGTAAAAGCTTCGATATCCATAGAGTGAGAGACTTACAGCCTTAAGGGGCAGAGTTTCTAAGGCAGGGGTGCTGGAGCAGCTTGTCATGTGATAGTGAAGGACAGAGAGAGAACCCACATCCCAGGTTTGTGTGTGGAGCATGTGCTTGGCCCCACACAGCAGCCCCATGGGCCTGGTGTGTCCTTAAGGGAGCCCATGGGGATCTCATGGTAGAAAGACCCAGGTCCTAAGCCAGGGAGGTGGAGGGTGTCCTTAGGTTCCTGCTTCCCTCCATTTTCTGGGATTTCCTGGAGGGCATGACATGGTGGTGTGACCATGCAAAATTCTGGTTGATAGTTTACCTCCCTAAACTAACAGGTTCTTGGATGAGGCCCCAGGGGTTCGTGTATCTGATTTGCCCCTGTCTCAGCCCCTCCTCTTAGCATACTGCCGTCACTGCCTGCACTTGGGGAAACCGCTCCTGATGTTCCCTCTACAAAAGAACAGGGCAGGCAAGGCCTGAAAAGTGGAGTGGTGGGTGGAGCTTTGGAAGGAACCTTTGCTTCACTGAAACTGGGCCTCAAGGAAAGTGGCCCTTTGGGGAGGCTCCTCCAGGTGTGGTTGCAGTCTGGGGCAGCTGCCAGGCTCTGGGGGGCCCTGGCTAGAAGACCACCTGGCCACATCCCCTGGGAATTGGATCCTCCCGGTACTCATCTGGTAGTGTTCCTGATTTTGTTGTGTGGGCTGTGCCCTAGTGGGATGTGGAGCATTTTGAGGGCCAAGAACTTCTCAGGCTCCTGGCCCTTCTTCCCTAGTCACTTGTTGCTTTTCTGGTAGTTGGGGCCCATCTCCAGTGAGCTGTCACTTTCTCTTCCATCAGGCTGCCCAGAGTGAGAGCTAAGACCTCACCTGGAAACATCCTAAAGTTCTGGAAGCGTGGACTCTCTTGTGCCTGAGATTACTCAGTATTTCCTTCTCTCTGCAGAACCCCAAGGAGTGGACCAAGAAGGTCATCAGGAACATTGCCTGTTCGGGCAAGTTCTCCAGTGACCGGACCATCACGGAGTATGCCCGCGACATCTGGGGTGTGGAGCCCTCTGGCCTACAGATCCCGACCCCCAACATCCCCAGGGACTAGGTGATAGCACAGTGAGGACCAGTGGGCTTTTGTTTTCTTATTGACTCCACACCTCATGCCATTTTCCAAGTGGTCCGTTGTTTTCAGTGCTGTGTTTCCGAGACTGGGAAGGAAAGGTGCTAAGAGTGAGATGCTGCCTGGTTTCTGGCAGGAAAGCAAAGCTCATAGCACTGACCAGCTGGCCCCACAGCTTCATACTACCTACCCCTTTGGCCCTCCCCCACCCCACAGAAGTGGGTAAGGTGAAGCCACCTGCTGGGCTCCTCCGAGACCTTACACACACCTTGCTGTGAGCTTGTTTTAAGTTTTGAGCCTCTAGATTCTGGGGTCTGGGCAAGTGGCAGTGGCAACACCTGAAGTATGTTTCTGCAGTACCTGGGTTGGCCAGGCGGTGCCGACTCAGCTCTGTTCCTGGTTGTGCTGGGAGGGTCCAGTGCTCCAAGCCATCTTTACAGCTGCCCCGTGGGTGCTCCGGACCACTAAGGGGGCCTTGGTTAGGATAAGGCTGGCTGATACAGTTAGCCTGATTTTCCTTTTTCAAAAGAAAATTAACTTCACAAGGAAATGAAACTAGCTGAAGTCTTTTCTTGTTTAGTAACTAAAAATTGTACTTTTGAAACTTCATGTCAGGGGAGGCAATTCTGGGATATTTTCGCCCAGCTGTGGGGGCCTGGGGCAGGGTTGCGTCTCTGCTGAGGGAGGCTGAGTGCCTAGCCCCTGCTGCAGATCTGCACCCTTTCTGCCCTGGAGGGCACATTTCTTGTCTTACATGCAAGGCTGCCTCTCCCTCTCCCTCCATCTCTGCCACTGCCACACGCGGGGCTGGAAAAGGACCAACTGGGCCCAGAGGGCAGCGCACTTTCCACTCTGCCCGAAGGGCGGGTGAGCACGTCAGCCACTGGAGGAGAGAGCCAGCGGCAGGTGGCACCCTTCACTGCATTTGTTGGCAATGCTGGATGGAAGCACCCTTCCAGAGGCTCTGCCTCCTTGCACGCCGGGTCTGAGCACCACAGGCTGGGTCCTAACTGCTCGTAGAACCAGGCCATGGAGGACTTGCTCAAGTACATACTTCATCAGAGCCACTGGGGTCTGTGGTCACACCCCCAACACCCTCCATTGCCCTGTCCCTTAGGCTGTGTGTGACCGTCACTGTGCCACTTGCTGATTAAAACTTCCTACCCATGTTTGGTTGAGTTGGCCTCTGCATTTTACTCTGGGTCAGCCTGGGGCAGGCCTCAGTCCCTCCCTCCTAAAGAGGGGATGGGCTAAATTATGGCACCATATTCTGGCACTGAAGACAGGAAGTTCTCTCATCCAGCTGTTGTGGCTTAGAGCTGTGTGTGCCTGAACTGCCAGCTCTTCAAGGAATTGTGAAATCTAATCACTTGGTAAACTGTCCTCTGGGCACTGGCATTTCTGCTCTGAATTGTATTGGCTTCTTTTGCACCTGTCTTCTGCCACCTACTCCTGGGAGGCAGAATGCCCCAGGGACCAAAATATTTCCCCCAAAACTGTACAGCAAGTTGAATAAAAAACCAAGAGGGATGTGAACTTGGGGTTCAATGTTACCCAAAGACCCTGAGAACTGTGGAACCCTGGAGCACGGTGGACCCTTGCTGGGGGCAGTGGCATTATGAGCCTCTCCTGGGTGGGGGTGAGGAGGGAGATGTGCCTTGGGATTGTATGCTCCCCATCCCTGTCCTAGGGCTTCCAGGACACACGCATGTAACTGTAGTTTATAACTATGCATGTCGACATCTCTTCTGTGTTTTTAAAGGACTGATCCTGACCACACACTGATTTTGTAACCCAAGGGTCGGTCCTTACCAACAGTTTAAGCTTAGTTGCTTAGACCAAGGTATCAGGAAGGGCCCTTTGGACCTGATGGCCCAGAAGCTGCCCACTTGCTGCTCCCTTTTGGTGCTTCCTCATCTTCAGCCGGCCTGTCAGGCACCTATAGAAACACTAACAGCTTGTATTTTTACTTTATATCCTATCTCATTCCTCCAAGAAAAGGATCTGAGGCCACTCACATAGACAAAAAGTTAAAAAAACAAGATTAAGAACCAGGCAGAACAGGCAGGCCTGAGACAATATGAACAGACCACACCCACTTTCTTGGCTGAGATGGGCTGAGAACTTGACTTGGAGCCTCACTGACAAAGCCAGAAAAGCTCACCAGTCTCACGAAGGGGCTGTCCAGCCCAGGGGGGCACATGGTATTTCAGTGGTTCTTAGAGCCTCTGACACAGAGCAAGATGCTACTGGGCCGGGCCCATGTATCCCAGCTCTGACAGACCTGCAGCCTGAGACAATGGTGTCTTATAGGCAGTGCTCACACCTGAAACAAACACCGACTTCAGGACGAGTCTGTTCATGTTTTACCCGTTTAAGAAAGGCGTGCATGGGAGATGCAGGGTAGAGGGGGTCAATGGGGGGGGAAAAGGACATCTGTAATACTTTCAACAATAAAGATTAAAAAAAAATTACCAAGTGTCCAAAGATAGTAAAATTATCCAGAATGTGGAGAAAAATCAATCAATAGAGACCAAGAAATTACTCAGCTCATAATTTCTATTAGTAAGTTAGTAAAAAAAAAAAAATTTTTATAACTAAAATTTATAGTTTAAGAAAGAAGAAAACATGAGTGTTAATGAAACAGAATAAAAATGAGCAAAATGGAAATTCTAAAATTCTACAGAGAAAATAAAATTTCCGGGAAGAAAAAATAGATGCAATTAATGGGGTATTAGATGTTGCAGAAGAAACGGTGAACTTGAATTCGTAGCAATAAACTATACAAAATTATACAGGAAAAATATGGAAAAAACCCCAGTCATGCATCAGTGAGCTGTGGGACAAAGTGAAACAGATTAACATATGTGCAGTTGGAGTCCCTGGTGTAGTGGAAGCCAGAGGAAAAAAAAATGACCTTGAATTTTCAAATTAGATTAAAATGATAACCTACAGTTCGTAGAACAACAAAGCCCCCCCCACCCCCAAGTTCATTTTCCAGATATGAGAATTGCATGGGCAGCTCTAAAGTGCCTCATAAACGAGGTATAACCTGCTTTGGCTTCTGGGCTCCCAGCAAGCCCCAAATGCTAACACTGGCCATGATGCCTTGGAGGACAGGCAGGCAGGTGAGAATTGCTGAGCTGCTGAGCTGCTGAGACTGCTTAGTTCCAGAGCCTTAGGACCAAGGAAGGAAGGCCAGCCATCAGGAGAGGCTGTGTCCCAACTGGGCTTACATACTCTGAGCTGGGACACACCCTTGTACCTGAATAGCAGGGGCAGGAAAGTCCCCTGAGGGGGTAGCTCAAGGCCCCATTCTTATTAAGTCACAGTTCTCTGAGAGGTCACCAGTGCCAGGGGAACAGAGAAGCTGGTTTGACAAAAAGCTAAACAAGACAAGAGCCACCACCAGCTGAGTGAAGGAGTAGATGCTCATAGGCTGGAACTCAAGTCCCTGCACTCCAGCAGCCTGTCCTTTCAATAGCCAGGAGCTTATCTGAGGTCTGTGGTGAAACCCCTATGCCCATCCATTGATATGGCCATATCCAATAAGCTTGCTAAACATGGTATGGAAAGGGTCACCTATATTGGCCTATATTTTAGGAAAATGCCATCTGCCACACCTGGAGAAGGCCCCTCCCTGGAAGGAGGGAGGAAAGAAAGGCCCTCTTCCTCTAACTTACAGTCACCCTTCCGCCCACGTGGCCAGGCTCTGCGAATGGCCTGGGGCCGGTCGGTCCTGGGTGGGGCTAGAGGCAGTACTGAGAAAGCAACAGAAGCAACAGACAGACCACCACCAGGATTTTATTAAATAAATGCTCAGTCTATGGCCAGGTTAGATGGACAGGTGTGTAGGAAGAGGAGGAATTGCAGATCACAGGCACCTCCCGTGCTGTGAGTAGTGGGACCCGCCCAGGGAGGCAGGGACACCAAAGGCAAGCAGGGTGCACAGGGCAGGAGGGGAGGGTGGTACCATTGGAGTCCACTCTGCATGTGCTGGGAGGGGCAGAAGAACCCCACATTCTCATGGGTGGTTCTGGAAAGCTCAGTGGTCCCAAGACCTCATACCTCCTGCCCCATTCTCCATTCCCAGCTCAGGAAGTGTGGGACTGACCAGCTGGTGGCTGGCCTGCTGTGTTACTGTCTTTCCAACAAGAGCATAGGTTGCGTGGCAGCAAGGAGGAGAGAGGGCCACATGCCTGCCACTCACATTTTCCACAAAAATTCAAGCTCCTGGCCACCAGTATGCTGGAGCCTCTTCTACCTGCCTTAGCTGGCATCCAAGTCCTCTCTCCAGGTGAATCGCAGATGCTGGCACCCAGGCGCCAGGGTGCTGGGTTGGCCAGAGGAATGGGGAGGAGGGCAGAGGTCTTCATGCTCCTTCAGGCAGTGAGCTCAGTGCTGGAGCTCAGGTTCTGATTTCCCCAGGAATTCCCTAGACCAGAGGACAACCATCAGCGAAATCCGAGTCCAAACCAGAGATCCTGTCTCCCCTAGTCCTCACACAGCCCGTATGAAGAGGAAAAGGAGCCCGAAGGACATCAGCCACAGCACCAATAGCATCACATAGTCACATCCTGACATGCAGGAAGAAAGACTCAGGTTATGAGCTACTCTTCTTTAGAGCTATACTCTGGTCTAAATTTTCTATAAAATATTCCTTTTACAATAGGTAAAAGTCACAACCTCAGAGCAAACCCATCCTCTTTCAGCTCACTGTCCCTCTCAACAACCCAGGTCCATGTGCAAGGAATGGCAAACTGCTCAAGAAACGTAGCTTTGCCTCTGAACTTTCAAGGTAGCCAGAGAAGAGCAAGTGTGACGTACTCATGGGATGAAAGCTGCTGGTGGCTGATTTGAGTACCCCAGGCTCAGAAGCCCCAGGAAGGGTGAACTCACAACCAGGAGCACAGCTTCCCTCCAAGAAGCAGTTGGGGACAAACATGCTTTTGAGGAGCTGGCCCAGTCCAGACCCACAAGAGTGTGTGTGTGTGTGTGTGGGGGGGGCCTCCTGTACACGGATGTCGGTGTGCTGGGAGCACCCCTATATGGGGTGTCTCTGTGGGCCTGCACAACCTGTACCACGGTGGATCATGGGAAGAGTCCAGGAGGGAGGGGTGATAAACACTCTCAGCCCTTCCATGGGGAAATAAAAGGCTCTTGAATAGTGGTGACTCTGGAACCCCAATGAGGCAGCTTTAGGGGATGAGCCTGCTGTATGTCTGGCCTGAGCTGTCACTACCCAGGACAACATCCCTGTTGAGAACAGAATATCTCACCTCAGTATCCGAGGAAGCTCAGGACTCTTGTAGATGTATTTGTGCCTGTAGCCGAGCTCCGAGTGAAAGGGGATGAACTGAACTTTGAAGTCTCGGAAGCTTCGAGAGGGTGCAGCAATGTTGTAGAGCTGGGGACGGAGAAATGGGCCAGTGCCCAGAGATGGTGGCCCTGTGGTGAACTTCCTGGTGGCCTCCCCTTCAAAAGGTCCGTCAGTGGCTGCTGCCTCTGCAGAGTAGTTCATGCCCCCCTCAAAAAGCACTGATGCCCTGCAACCTGCCATGGCCAGGGACTGAGGCATTGGCAGGAGTCCAGCCCAGGCTCAGCCCCCTTGGCCTGCCATTTAAGATCCTATCTGTCCCCACACCTGTTTCTCAGATTGCTCCCCCCCCCTTCCTTAAGGGAGAGTGAGGTCAATGAGCCAGCACCACAGAAAGAGCCACATGCCATAGGATGGGGTGGTGGTCTCAGAGTCTGGAGCAGCCCTGATGGCTCAGCCCTGGGGACTGGGATGGGTCAGGTGCCTCAGACTTTGCTGTGTGCCCAGATCAAGGCCAGTCAACAAGCTTGCTCACATTCTGTACTGGCCCAGACCCTCCCTCCTCCTACCTCTAGGACAGCCAGACTGTGTGCCCAGACCTGCTGGAGGAAAGAAACCTGGCACTGACAGACCCACCTGTACCTCTGGCCTGTTCTGAGGCCGAAGTAGCCCAGGCACCACTCCCTCTAGGCTGCCCCTGCCCCTTTTTATCACCATGGCCAGGCAATGTTGTCTCCTACCTCACACTCACCTACAAAGCTAATCCCGCTTCCAAGCAGCAAAGGCAAAGCAACTTGGGGATGCCCCATGACAACATGGTACTCCTCTGACACTGATCCAATCCCAAAGGCAGGAGAACAAATGAGAGGTTCTGTGTCAATACTACTGACTGGGACTCCTGAATTGGAGCTGGAGGATCTTTGTTGTCAAGGGGCCCTATCCTCCAGCCCAAACTGGCAGGCCTTCCCAGCTGAGTCCCTTGTAGTCATGTCTCTGTCAGGCCAGGACACTACTGTGACCTAGGAGACATTTGCTTATTTTTCATGCTTCCTCTTGTGGACGGCATTAGCTGTCTACCCCTGCCCCCCACCCTG